TACAACCAGCTTCGGCAGGGAAATTGTACCTCGGGATACGAACGCCTCTACTAACAAACATTTCAGGTTACAACCAGCTTCGGCAGGGAAATTTTACCTCGGGATACGAACTTCATCCATTCCGTGACTCTGGATGTATCCCGAGTTGGTTGTAACCCGAAGCAAATGTTCCCATAGGGTTCAATGTAAATCCGGTTAATCCGTTCCGCCCTCCGAATTTGGTCGCAACCCGAGGCGAATTTCCCCATAGGGTTCAATGTAAATCCGGTTAATCTGTTCCGCCCTCCGAATTTGGTCGCAACCCGAGGCAATTTGCTCTTAAGAGCCTTACTCCCACCAAGCCTGCTCTGCATTTTCTTTGGAGCCATGCTAACACGCACACAAAAAATCTTCGCAAAACACCACAAAACATACCACAAGCCTCACCTAACGTCTCCTTGCTACCTCGACCTCACCCACAGGAAGCCGCGACCACATGGCAGCAGGGAAAATGGCCGCGGATCCAGTTCGTAAGTTGAGGCGAGTTTGTAACCCGAGGTAAATTTTCCCTGCCGAAGCTGGTTGTAACCTGAAATGTTTGTTAGTAGAGGCGTTCGTATCCCGAGGTACCACTGTACCTGGTTTTATTCCGCAGCCCCCGTGACCAGGTGCAGATTGTCACGTTGGCCCATCAGATGTATCCCACTAACAGTACTTTTTAGAAGTATTCCAAGATGCCACGCGCAACCCCTACGGCTATCTTTTGGTAGATTTGGCTGCCACTACTGCAGAGGACTACAGACTGAGAACAGGTATCTTTCCACCTGATTGGCCTGCTGTTTACACTATGAAAAAGAAGAGTAAACAAGCATTAGCTTGAACATCTTGGAGTTAGTATATACAGGATGTCGGAGAGGGTGCGCAGAAATTGGGGAGTCTTAAAAATCTTAGTAAGGGCTGGTCCAAAACAGAGAAAGGCCATCTTGTGCAACGGAAATAATGACCTAGTAGGGCCAATAGCCAAAGTAGTGCTGAACACCTCAAAAGGCTAACCTCCCTAAAACTCCCATTGAAACCTTCACAATACAGAGTTTTAAAGAGAAAGAAAGGGGCCATCAAAACATTGAGTGATAGAAAGGTGTCGCTCAAAAAGAAGAGGCAGCTCATTCACCAGTCAGGAGGCTTCGTTGGATTGTTACTGGGGGCGGCTATACCGCTGCTGGCTAGTCTGTTCGGACGTTAATCCATGGAACATGCGGAGAAAATGTTTTTGGTGTCACGCCGTCAGATGGAGCAACTACAGGGTAGAACGCCCACTATGGGGACTATGGCTGCTAACCGGTTGGATGATGAGATGCATACCATTCTTCAGAGATCTGATTTGCGGGAAGATGAAAAGATTAAACTCTATAATTCTGTGCTGCAGAGGTTTCTAAGACTGAACAGACAAAACGATTCTGAAAAAGACAGACTGAATCTCATTTACCCCTCAGAAGAGCGTTGACAGCCTCCCGCGTTCACAGAACAACTATCACAGATGGCCCCCCAGGACACCACGCTACATGACATCCTAAGCAGCGTGAGCTCGCGTTACAGGAAAAATGCAGAATTTTTGCTTAACAAAATGAAACAGCACCAGGACATATCGTCCTGGGATGACCGCGGCACATTTTTGTACAAGGGTGTCCCTATTCCCGGTACTAACATTTTAGATCTGGTGAAAGGGGCCGCACAACACTGCTCCCTTACTGAGAAGCAGAAACCAAACCTGGGGTGAATTTATGAATACTATGGCTGAGACAAATGTTCCAACCTCTGTGCTGGGGTCTACAGCAGTTAAAGAAGAATTAGAAAGGCTGAAAGACCCCCCAGCCACTAAGGATGAAACTGCTATTAGCCCTGATTCTGTTATGACGGTTCCTTTAGAGCCTCTGTTTACTGATACACCCTTTAGATCTTGGTTGCTAAATCCTAGAAGTAGGCTTAGATTTGATGACTGGCTCAATTTGTAAAATGATGTATGCTGTGTGATATAAATAAAAACACTGTGAAACCGGTAAAAAAATTTAAGTCTTTTTCTTTATTTTACAATAAGGCACACACGATTGCATACATTGGTGACGGATACGGGTTCCAAGCACACTTCTCCCCTTTATGGCTTTTACATACCGCTGTACCATTTGATCATTTTTAATATTAACATCAGAGTACATCTTTAAAATATTTTCATAGTCCACGCCTTTAAACCAATTCAGTAGAAAAAACACACAATGTTGCCCGCAGGTCACGGCGCTGGGGTGTTGCAACCACCGCTGATGAAATATGTACTTCTTAGACTGATGCTCTAAGAACCTCACTATGGATCTGGGAAAGTCCAGACTGTCTGGTGGTCTTCCATAAGAATCAAAAAATTCCCCGTATCCGGGAGCCGGGAAGTAGAGGGCCAACCAGTGTTCTCCGGGTAAAGTCTGAGGGTGGGTGTTTACAATTAATCCGAAAGGCCTTTTGGAGATTAGTGTCGCAAGTAGCAGATCACAGGGGTAAAGCCCTAAAAAATCTGGGTTTCCAGAGAAAAACCGTAGGATCTGTAGGGTGTCCATTCTCACATATAATCAAAAAGCACATTCCTGGTGTGGCTTATTTCAATAACGTTTTCAAAGATGGCGTAGAGTATCATGTTGATGGTATTGAGTAGGGGTTGTGCGAATCTAATTTCCGCTCTGAGGTTACCATTTCTGATCAAAGAATAGTGCTCAGCACACCCATGATTGGGACTTAGGTCAAAACAATATAAGTTATACCCTGTCCTAAATTCCTCCCAGCTGATTAAGAGAGGTCTGTCTTTCATACCTTTACCGGTCATCTGCACCATCTGCATGTACTCTCTCACAAAAAGGCCATGTTCATAATCAGGCTGAAGAGGCTTGGCGGGGATCTGTTCGCTGTTGCAATACAGAGCACAAAAATTGACATTGAAGTTCTTAAAATTGAATGGATTTCTGTCATATTCACCACTAAAAGAGGCATTGTCCACGAAACCAATCACTAATTGTTTAGGTAGCTGGCCCAGAAAAAGGTTTTCCTGATTACACACAAGGCTGCCTGCTGGAATGCTGTAAACCTTCATCCCCACTCGATCAATGGGGTACTTGGCATTGGAGGTCAGCAAAGCTTCCGCGTGGCCCAAACCCACTCCGGCGGATACTTTTACACGTTTCACAAAAAGAAAGGCCGACACTAGCTGCACTTTGTAATTCTGGTTGCTGTCCCTCATTAGACAAAATTCATTTCTGCTTCTTGTGAGTTTGATTTTCACATCAACTCCGTTAATTAGCAGCTTGTCTTGAAAAAAAAGATCACTATGCAAAGTGCCGACCAGGTCCCATTTATGACTACCAGCAGCGTGTTTTGCTCTCGCTCTGAATCCGTAGTTGCCTACACCCGTCAGTAAAGTGATCTCCATGCAGTTTGAGTCATCTTTGTAAAAACCCCCAGCTGTAAATTGGGTTCCTAGAGTATGAGAGCCAAAATTCAGAATCAGTTCGATCATGGCCCTATAAGGACAGCAGTGATGGCTCTGCGTAATGAGGTAATCTCCCAAGGTAACATCCAGTTGGTTAAACAGCAAGGCTATAGGATAGTTGACCAGGGCTAGCCAGGCATCTTCAGCAATATCTGTGCCGTCTGCATTTACAATCTTGCAATTTACATGCAACAAAGTGTTGTTTAAATCCGTGTAATACTCATCATGTCCTGTGATAAAAAATTCCAGGGGGGCATTGGGTGTTAGTGTGGATAAAGGCAGAATCTCGACATACATGCTGTTTTCAACACTGGTTTGTGTAGGTGGCAGTTGAAAAAGATCCAGTTCTGACATCACACACTCCTGGAATGCCTCGTGGATAAAAGACATTTTGTATTAGAATATATCTTGGCTGTCACAGCGCTTCCTTTTCTGTGAACGCTTCCTCTTTGTATGACTGCATTTTTTCACAACTCTTCTATTTTTAAAAGGGATAGGCAGTTCCGAGCCCTCTTGACTCTCCCTACAACATGGGACACAATCTGTCCCGCCACGTCTTTGACAATGTTCTTGGCTGCAGATTTCATGTGCGGCTTGACGATTTCTAACCCTTTCCTTAGAAGAGGCATAGCTTTTCAAAAAAGACCCCAGAACAAACCTCTTAAACTTGTCCCTTACATGACAGGTGTTCCTCGGAAGCCTGCAAGACCACTACCTGCTTGATCCCGGTAGTAGGCTACGTAGCCTTGAGGTCTCCCGTACTCCTTGATCACAACCATCCTTTGCTTTTCTGCAGCCTGAAATGAAGCTTGACGATAACCTTCCCGTGGTTAAAATGGACGTATTTGTTCTGATCTGTTTTGATTTGTAATGGTAGTGATGAAATGTTTGCAGACCGGAACATAATGGGGGCTGTCATAGGTTACTGTGATGAATTCTTTGTCTTGCCCCCTCACAGGCACACAGCGCAGTAACGGTACATAAAAGTTGCCAACTACCTGGGGTTCCACAATGTCTGTATAAATATATAACGTGTTGAATCCTCCGGTCACATCAGCAGCAAAGAGGAATTTTTTGGCGTGGAAACCTGGGAACAAATCTAATATATGTGCAAGTTTGTCACCGGTTAGAATGGCAGACATTCCATTTCCTGTAAGATTAATTTTTCAAACCACAGGGTCATACTGCAGGGTTGTCTCAGGACCATTCTCGATGGCAGCCATATGCTTGTTCATTATTTCTACCATCTGCTCGATGCTGGCGTAGTGACTGGCTTCCAAAGGAAAATACCACCTCTTTTCCTCGGTAAGAATTTTAAAATGTACATCTGAAGTTAATGTGTCCCAGCTGTGCGGGTACTGTGTCTCTACTAGCCCGACTTCCCACAGCCCTGGAAGATCCAATGTCCTCGCTAACTGAATAGTAAAATTAGAACTTTTGTTTTTGGGAAAAGCAGCCGCCAACACATTGCTGGGAAGGGTGATGTAAAATCCTGCCATATCAAAGACGGTGTGCTTCGCTCTCCTTAATCCAACTGTTGAATTTCTCTGGC